CCTGAAATCAACCAAGGGGAGGGGGGTGGGGATTATTAAAGCAATGCCATTATACCATTAGACACTTATATTCAGAGAAAACTTAAACACCATTCAGTTTAAGCTTCGCACTTGCAGGCTTTCGGGTTGTCTTCGGACGGAATCACGAGACAGCAGATCTGAGAGGGTCTTGCTGTTTATGGCTTAGGGGTTAGAGCCTTCAGGACACTACGCAGGGTTTAGGCTTCAAGTTAAATAGCATCGGGATGATAATGATGATGAAGTTTGAGAGCAATGTAAGCGAACGTGTTGAGCACGGCGATGATGCAGAGGTGACGATGGTGATGATAGTAATGGATCCACCAGCTCAGCCGCAGACAGACTTTGCCCTTTCTGGCCTGGCATTTGCGGGCAATCTGTACGCCGTTTCCCTAAGCCCTAAACTTTAAACCCTTCACCCGTGCTAACCCCTAAACCCTGCATTCACTGCTATGGCGATTTGGGCCTCAGTGCCACTACCAACGATTCAACAGATTTAGGGCTTAGATTCTGCCGGAGCTGTGCTGAATCCAGGGTTTCCGTGGGTCTGTAAGTATATGGTTCTACGAACCCAGAGACTCCAATATCCCTCAATCAAGGAAGAAAGCCCTAAATCTTATCGGATTCCTAGTATAATTTGAGGCATATTCCTGAATTAAGGGATATTGGAGTCTCTACGAAGCTCCTTACACAGGGTTCATGGGATCACCATAATAAGTAAGTACATGGGTGTTGGTGCAAAATTTTTGAAGAGTAGTACAGTGCCATTTGTCGAAGCTCCGGGGGCACAGCCGAAACCCTGCAGAACCCAACAACGGCCCTCCCACTTACAGTCAACCGTGGAACCCTAAAGCCATCCGCCCCATCCACCCAATGGCAGACCCATCGTAACCTGAATCACTAACGTCCTCACATGTGTACCATCTTGCCTCCCAGAAGACCGAAGCACACACACACACAGATCCTACCCTCATCCTGAATCAAAGAAGCATAAAGAGGTCACTGAACTCCCGACAGATAAGCCCTAAAGCCTAAGCCCTAAACCCCCAAACCCTGAAAACCTTAAAACCTCAAAATATCCTAAAGCCCTGAGCCCCAAAAGATCAATCTCAGATTAATTTCCTTTACATCTGCTATGTCGGACCCCCCGAAAGACTCGGCTTTTTTGGGGCTTAGGCTTTAGGGTTTCGACTTTAGGATTTGTGGGGCTTTAGGCTTCTGGAGTTTAGGGCTTACTGCGTTGGGGCCTAGGAGTAGAATTTTGGCGTCGATTTTGGGGTTCATCACCCCAAGGCTCCTGGACCCTTGTAGTGAGATCCCAGACCCTAGCCCTCAAAGCCGAAACCCTCCCCCAGAAAGCCCAAGACCCTCTTAGGAGCCTTAAACCCTAAACCCTATACCCTAAATCCCTAAACCCTAAAACCCTAACCCCTAAACCCTAAATCCCTAAACCCTAAAACCCTTAGGAGCCTTAAGGTAGAATTTTGGCGTCGATTTTGGGGTTCATCAGACCAACCTTCTCCTCGCGCGTGAGAACGTAAACGATCCTGGCGAAAAAAAATGCGGCGCTTCTAAACCCCTAAACCCTGAACCCCTATTAAGGGTCCATGTACCAAATTAAATATACTTTGGCCCCTAAACCCTAAACCCTAAACCCTAATTAAGCCCTAAACCCTAATTTAACCCTAAACCCAAATTAAACCCTAAACCCTAACTAAACCCTAAACCCTAAACTCTAAATAGGGACTCTTTTGAGGCCAAGTATATCTGCTTGGGTATCAGGGAACCTTAAACCCTAAACCCCTAAACTTTCAATAGGGAACCCTAAAAAGTGCGCGAGTCCGGGCCGACAACACCCTAAACCCTAAACCCTAAAGGTTTCTTGGGGGTCTCTGGAGTTCTTTGACAGAGTTAGTTCAGCTTGGAGTTCGTCTAGGAATGAGGGGCTCTTTTGGGTTTAGGGATTGGGGTTTATAGGGCTTTTAGGCTTTAGGGATTGGGGTTTATCGGATTTTTAGATTTAGGAATTGGTGTTTATAGGGTTTTTAGGGTTTAGGGATTGGTTTAGGGACTGGGTACAGTGGTATGAGTTCAGGGATTAGGGTTTAGGAGTTTAGAAGTGTGCTTTTTCCGGAAAGCATTCACAACGCAGTAACACACTCAAGCTTTCGGCAAACAAAAACGCATAAAAAGCAACTCAAACCCGGAGACTTTACAAAACAGCCTCGTTCGAAAACAACATACGCGTAAAGCATTACTTGCCAGAAAACGGACTCGAGATTTCGGAAACATGGGTTTAGCATCTAGGGTATACTTTAGGAATTTAAGAGTTTTACGGTTTAGGGTGCTTTCACGGGTTTCGGGTTGAGGGGAGTCTCTGGAATTTTTGGTACACGCCGGGAGAAGCCCTCTAGACGCATACAAGCAAGCACAAGACCCTAAGGGTCCATGTACCCAAATAGTATATACTTCGGCCTTAAAGTAGTCCCTATATAGGTACTTTGGGGCCAAAGTATATGCTATTTGGGTACATGGACCCTTAGGGAGATTGAAACCTTTCAGAAGAGCCCATGTTGAACTGTACACTAGTAATGTGGGAGCCCGAAGAGTTACCAATAGTAGCCTGAAGGTTCCTGCATGTACTTACCCTAAGACTCCAAGTATACAAGTAGTACCCACTTTGGGGTCTAATGTGTATAAATAGTACCTACTTTGGGCTATTTGGAGTCTTAGGGTTATGCTATGTGCTAAAAAACATAATTATCGCAGATACCGCCCAAAAACCTTTTCGAAGGATCATGTGGGACACCTTTTGGGCGTTCCTGTTTGTAATTTACCCTGCCAGCTTCGCAAGACTGTGGATCCGCTGAGAAAGCAGAGGTTAGGGTAGACGAGGCCCTCAAGACGAAACCCCGAACACTCCAAAACCGTAAAGCTTGAAGCCATCCGGCATGTGCTGCCCAAATCCCTAAAAAAGCCTGCGCAGGAAGGAGGGTAAGAACTACTCCCATGAGTCCATGTGCCCAAATAGTATGCTTTGGCCCCGAAGTACCCATGTAGGGAATACTTTAAGGCCAAAGCATATGCTATTTGCGTACATGGACCCTAAGTAAGGGTACTCAGAGTTCAGGACGGCAAGTTGAAACCATTAGCTCTCAGACTTCTCGTTCCCAGTGTCTATACAGGCGGTTCTCTAATTTGGGGTCCCCTTCACAGGCATCATAATTTGGAGAACTACTCATACAACTTCGGTCGAAAGCCTGGAGTCACTGGGATGTTGCAGCAATTGAGGGTTTCATCTGAAGATCCTCGTTGCCTACTTCGGGCTTTGGGTTGGGGGCTTTCGGCTTTTGGGGCTTCAGGGCTTTAGGGTTTAGGGAATGCTTAGGGCTTTTAGGGTTTGTGTCGGGTTTGGGGTTCAGGGCCGAACTTGGCGCACACAATTATACCTGCCGAGCTGAAAAATGCCTAGATCCCAACACAACCATAACCCTAAACCCTAAACCCCTGTGAGCCCCTATAGAACCTTTAGAAACCCTCTGAGCCCCTATAAAATCGACCTTAGAAGGGTCCATGTACCCAAAATGCATATACTTTGGCCCCCAAGGTACCTATAATATAAAGGAACTACTTTATAAGGCCCAAAGGATCTCTATGTAGGGTACATGGACCCTTAGGGCTACACAGCTCCATGAGGGTTTAGGGTTTAGGCTCCATTGTAGTTCCTTTTTGTGGTTCATAATTAAGACCCTCTAAGGCAACCCCCAAAAAGGAACTACTATGGAGCCTATGGGAAGGGTTTAGGCACGAAGCCGAGCCAGTTCTGGTCAGGGGGCAGCAAGGTCAGGATGCCAACGACGGCTGTTGCTGGCGACGGATTCGTAATTGTCTCCTCAATCTTAAAAGGACACTACAGGTGGGGAGTTTAGGGTATATAGGGCTTCTATAAGGCTCCTATAAGGTACATAGACCTTCTATAAGCCTCCTATAACTGTGGTCAATTACCCACTTGAAAATGTCCTAGATTCCTAGATGAAGTGGGGCCTTCTAAAACCTAAGCCCTAAAATTCCAGGGAAAGGCTCAATGCTTTCATCATCAGCGTGATGAGACAGGTCTTCAACAGTCTTCATGGTTTTAAGGTTAGGGTTTAGTACTTAAGGTTTCGCATCACTTTAAACAGTTACGCTTGCTCAACATACGAGAAATCAGCAACAACATCACAGCGCCAGCCTCATCTTCAAACAAGTACCAACTATCTTCGTTAGAAGATGTTCGTGTTCATCAGGTACCAACTATCATCGTTGGAAGATCTTCGTGTTCACCCTACTAGAGAACTGAACCATATTGTTGATGATATAAATCCTGCATTACCTTAAGGGTGTTAAACTACGGGAATTATGGTATGTTCCTTATGCGTAATGCAGGGCTTATCTCATCAACCCTAAACCCTAAAACCCAAAACCCTAAACAATAAAACCCCAAAACCCTAAAACCCTAACCCCCCCTAAGCCCCTGAGTCTCAACATGCACCCTAAACCCTAAACTGATACTAGCGACTTCATGACCGAAGGCTCGAAGTTCGGTTTAGGATTTAGGGTTTAGGATTTAGGGGTTTAGGGGTTTAGGGTTTAGGATAGGTACATTCCTAAAAACGGGAATTTTTGGAATGTTTGGGACCCCAGCTCTTCAGACGATGCTGTGGATCATAGAGGGTCTTCTCTTCTGAAGGATTTAGGGTTTAGGGTTTAGGGGTTTAGGGGTTTAGGGTTTAGGGTTAAAGTGGCATTGGAGTCTCTGGGCAACCTTGGGATGAAGTGGTGTTCGGATTAGGGTTTAGGGTTTAAGGTTTAGGCTTTAGGGTTCGGAGGTGTTGGTGCTCATGGTTTGCCTAAAGTTTGGATTGATGATGAGCTGATGAACGCTGCTGAAAGTAGCCCCGACAGCCTTTGTTTCCGCCACGTGGAGTCTAACTTTGCATGGCCCGTTCCATCGAAGTCTTGAAAACACGTAGGAACTGCAGGAAAGACTCTAGATCCTGTGTGCATCGGTCCGCATCTGTGGCTGATTCCATGCCGTCAGGACATGCTGGTGCACGCAACCAATAAGACTCCGTCTTGAAATGGTGCTTGGCGTCGAAGGCGCGGATCATCTCGATCACTCTGGCGTAACTTTTAAAGACTCCGAAATCATCGAACAGAGTCTGTTGCACCATCGGACAAATATCAAGTTGCAGGGCATGAAGGCAGTGCTCCTTGTAAGGGTAAATATTGAATCCATCTTTCCAGCCGTAAGCACCGGCGTAGGTAATGTTTCCGAGGATCTCCACTGCGTCTTGACGGAAAGTGTGGCTTTTGATTGCGATGTTCCCAGTGTCCTGTGTGACGCAGCACTGAGTCCACTTTGACTGGTCACCCGACACCTCTGACTGCAGCGCTGCGCTTCCATGCTCAGCTTCTTGTGCCTGCCGCAGGGCACAGAGGAGTACAGGAACCTGCGAACACATGAGGATGCGCCAGGCGGGCGACATAGCGATGGACTTGGCAGCAGAACAAGAGAGATGGCTGTGGATGAGCTGCAACAGCTGCGGCAGACCGGCAGAAAAGCTTTCATCTACTGTTTAACCGTTCAGCCCTATCACGGTAAATATTTTATGGTCCCTATAAAGAGCCAGTATCCCTACATGCTGGCAGGCAGCACTGTAAAGAGTGATTAAATGTTGGGGCGTTGAAGTTTATTTACAAGGGCAGACAAATGCATCTCTGCACGCAGAAATCGATAGAGGAATCAGCAAGTACTTCTGCATACACTTGTACATGAACGAACATACATACATACATACATACATACATACATACATACACACATACATACATACATACATACATACATACATACATACATACATATATACATACTATGTAGATAGATCTCTTTGTATGCACATATTGCATACTTATCTCACTGGTTATTCATTGGTACTTTTGTGTTCGTTCTTATGTATGTATGTATGTATGTATGTATGTATGTATGTATGTATATGTATGTATATGTATGTATGTGTATGTATGTGTATGTATGTGTATGTAAGTGTATGTATGTGTATGTATGTGTATGTATGTACGTGTAGGTATGTATGTGTATGTATGTGTATGTATGTGTATGTATGTGTACGTATGTGTATGTATGTGTATGTGTATGTGTATGTGTATGTGTATGTGTATGTGACTGTGTATGTGTATGTGTATGTGTATGTGTATGTGTATGCGTATGCGTATGCGTATGCGTATGTGTATGTGCGTGTGTGTATGTACCTATGTGTGTATGTATGTATGTATGTATGCATGCATGCATGCATGCATGAATGTATGTAACTGACTTTTCGTGTCCAGGCTGCCATGCTGGGATTGTAGCAGCCTAGTTACTGCAAGCAATGTAAGTATCGGGCTTCCAGCTGCAACAGATATAACTAGGAAGCCTAAGCAGTAGTATTGCTACTTGCTCAGGTATTCGGCAATGATCGCGTGGATACCCTCAACCCTAAACCCCAAACCCCTAGACCCCTAAACCCCTAACCCCTCAACCCCTAAACCCTAACTAAACCCTCGACCCCTACACCCTGAAATTTTCAGGTTGAGGAGGTTTTACCTGCTGAATCTGAAGATCTGGGAAGCTAAGCCGACAAACCCTAAACCCTGAAGCTAAGCCAAGCCCTAAACAACACCAAATCCTGAATCCTACAGCCTAGACTTACTTTTCCAAGAATCCAGGGAAATAAACGGTTAAACTTTCAGATTACTACTAACCCTAAACCCTACACCCTAAACCTGTAAATTCTAAGAACCCAAAAAGTTTAATCGGTGGGTAATTGGGGAACTAAGTAGACCCTGCAGCCAAAAGCCTCGAACCCACACCCTGCTTCATTGGATTTAGGGTTTAGGGGTTTAGGGAGTTTAGGGGTTTAGGGAGTTTAGGGTTTAGGGATTTAGGGGGTTTAGGGGTTTAGGGTTTAGGGTCCCCAACACCCTAAACCCGAAACCGTGATTCATTGCAGCCGCAAGGGGCTAGAAAGCCTCGCCGGCTCGTCCTGTCGCCATCGGAAGCTCGCCTTGTCTGTGCCTTCCGAATCTTCCGAATGGGTGAAGCAATCCTTACCCATAGGCCCCTGAGTAGTTCCTTTCTATGGTTTATGTATATTTAGAATCCTGTAACGTAATCCCAAAACGGAACTACTTGGGGGCCTATGGGTATAGAATTTCCTATACGGCACACTACCCTAAACCCTGAACCTCCTAAGACTCGAAACCCAACACCCAAAACACTACGATAGAGGTGGCCACAACATTTCTAGAGGGTTTAGGGTTTAGGGGTCAGGGTTTGAGACAAACCTAAACCCCAACAGACGAAGCATTAGACCCCGAACACAAACCCTGAGTCCTGACCCGCAAACGCAGGGTTCAAAGATCTGTTGCCCTTAGAAGGAGATTCTGCAGTAGCTTCATGATTTTGAGTTCTGAGATACTGCTTGTGCGCAGTTCGTGAATGGAGCAACTTACTTGAACACTTAGCTTGTGCTTAGGGACAGCCGCACAGTGTATGGACTAGCCCAGGTCCGTGACGATCCCATATGCTAGCCCGAGACCCCTTGGGTTCTGGGTGTTCTGTGACCCTAAGGGTCCCCTAGTATATACTTTGGCCTTAAAGTAGTCCCTATGTAGGTACTTTGGGGCCAACTTTATATGCTATTTGGGTAAGTACATGGACCCTTAGGGCGAGGCTTCCGACATGCCAGTTTGGAGAGTTGCGCGACATGTATTGGAATCCGTGGCTAGAGTACACTACCGAGTACCGGGCATGAGTTCTATATATGACACCAAGTGCTGACAAGCAAAGCCTCAGGGCAGAGGCGGAGACCTCGCGATGATTCCGATAGGGGTTTAGGGTTTAGGTTTTTTTTGGTGCAATGACGCCCCTTTCTCCAAAGCGCGCCTACCCAAAGACGGGCATACACTAGGGTTTAGGGGTTTAGGGGGTAGCGTTTAATCTGCCAGCATGGACGTGTGCAACAAAAAACCCGCGAAAGGGCGGTTGTAACGATACTGACGATTACAGCCACAAAGAGCAGGTACATGGATGCTCGATAGAAGCCCTTTCGACTTAGTCTTCAACTTGAGTCAGCCAAAACTGCTTTAAACCCCGAACCAAAACCTCAGAATTACCCTACACCCTAAACCCTAAAAATTATCATGGTTGGGAACTGGGACCCTCCAAAGTTAAATCCTGACCTCGACACGGGCAGGTGGCGAACAGCCAGGCAAACGTCCTCGCCGAATGCATTCATCGGCGCACTTTTGAGGCTGGGAGCCTTCGGGTTTAGGGGTTTTAGTCTTGAGGGATTATTTTTCGAGATTTCGAGTTTTGCGGTTGAGGGTTTAGGGTTCCAGTACCCTCTTGTGGGTAATTCAACCCGATGTTTGCCCTTCTAAACCCCAAATACCTCCTGCTGTACTTTGCAAGCGAACTACCTACTGCTGCTCATTGAACATTGGGCTCCGAATTCGCAGTCCTGATGACATAGCTATTCCCTTGCCATCATGACTTGCTACACAAAATGCCCACCCAACTGGGTCACCCAACTATCATTGATGGCAGCCCCTTAAGAGGGAGATCCTTCTTCTCGCAAGGACCTGTCCCAAAAGGAAATCCGTGGTTCACGATACCTACGCAGGAGAGGACAAGGAAATAAGCTCTGGTGGAAAGACCATCCTGTCACAAAGCTTCCAGAGAACGCACCACAAGCGCCCAGCACCACCAGAAGTGTGCACAGCGCCGGGCAACCGCGAGCCATGGCTGCGTGGTAGGTGAGATGGAACGCCAGAAGTTTGAGTGCGCAATAGAATAGCAGAATAGTTGTGCCTTTGGTTTCGGGCGCTCTGACATAATCAGACCTCTGAATCTGAAGGAAACGATCTGGAACCCGCTTGTCACATCTAACCACGGCGCAGACTTTGATAGCTACACTGCAAATGCTACAGAAAAAGCAGGTCAGGCTCATCGACATCATCTTTAATCAGCAACGTTAGAATCGTCATCACCATAATCGTCTTCATCTTCTTCACCGTCATCATGATACCTATATGCGGTCGGGTCTAGGGTGCATATTAATTAGTGCAAGACTTGAAGATATCTCCGGTGCGGTTCGGCGCGCTCACCATCAAAAATGGTTCGCATCCACCCCTCTCGGAGATTCCCAAAATCCTTACGTGCTTCATGGCCGAGTTTTCTCCCTAACCTAGATGAGAGTTACAGCTCTCATAAGCATGTTGTCTTCATGAGGGACCCTGAAATACGGGAAAACTTGGTAAGGGTCCGAGTCCGGGTTGCTCAGCCGGGGGCCTGCTAGCTTGCTCATGTCTTCTTCCACTCGCTTTAGGGCCTACTTATTACGGGGTCTTATCTGGAGTTGCACACGTGGTTTAAAAGCGTTTTGCCTGGGATTCGGGAATCGAGGGGACCAACCTCAAATCACAAAACCGTAAAGCTTAAATTGCCGCAAGTACTAAAGACGTCTTCACTTGGCACTAAGCCCATGCAACAAATCAGCTATTTGTATTATCACCTGAGGTCGTTGGCCTCGGGCGTTCCGAGTTGGTCCTAGTTGATGAACAAACTTGACAAATTCATCGGAAAACCGTGCCTGAAGGCTATTTGGGCTTAGGGCCAGAGTTCGGGATTCAAGAGTCAGCGTCTCGGTGGTCCTTAAGTCCCTAAAACCCTAAACCCTAAAACCTAAACCCTACAGCCCTTTCCTTCGGAAAGGGCCTCTCTCCGATGCTAGGATTGTTTCTCCTGGATCCAAGTGCAGCTTTCGGCATTCACTGGCATGCAAAAGGGCTCAGTCAGGCGGATGGCTCTGCATTCTATCTTCGCCTTTTTTCAACTACATACATGTACACCTGACTCTTCAACGCTGAGAACGTAGTATTGTGTGTAGCTTCACATTATGGAAGTGTGCAGAAAGGTGGCTGAAGCCCAGATATAGAGTTGCTGGTGAGACCTGGATGATCTGTGCCGGAGGCTATAGCTGCAAAGTTTGACATAGAGGGGCCTCAATAATCAGACGGGCGTTCTGGGATAGAATGTTGTGTCAGATCATGGCCATACCAGGCCCATAGTGGCTTTCCTTAAAACATTATACAAAGGAATACTTCACGTCAGACCCCGATATGATATGGTGGTAGGGTTCAGAGCTTCGTGTCTACGTCTTAGGAGTTTGGACTTTCAGCTTAGCGGTTTTGGGGTTTCTGCCTCCTGGATTGCTTTAAAGGCTTCCCTTTGTTTTCGGGTTATAGGATTTTTAGGCTTTAGGCTATACAGTGCTTACAAGGGGTCGAGTAGAGTGCTTGAGTAGCTCTACCACAAGGCACAAGACTTCCATGGGAAGGGTCCTCCCCCGACTTTGGGGGGGACTCCTCACCCTGCCCCTTCTTCACATCAATCCAGCTTCACGCGATTATCTTTGGCCCACTTCTTGATCCGCGTGATGATGTAGTCCACCTCAGATCCCCCACAATCACGGCTAAACCCCAACACCTAAAGGCTCCTAGGTACTGTTATGGGGGATACTTTCCCAAATCATCATAGTCATCCGCAATATAGAAACCCTACATTCTACCACTTTGGACCCTTTAAAGGAAGGGAAGGAGCCCCTTTAGTTCTCAAAACCAAGGTCGGCCTGAGGGTTGCTGGAATTCCGCAGCAGGTGGACCACTTCCTCAACTAAAGGAAACTACAGGTGGGGAGTTTGGGGTATGTAGGGCTTCTGTAAGGTATATAGACCGTCTATAATACTATAACGCTCCTATAACGGTAACTACCCACCTGAACATGTCCTAGACTCAAAGAGTACTTGGAGGCTCATGGGACTAAGTCGCAAGAGTTTTTAGGCTGTAGGGTTCAGGGCTTTAGGGTTTAGGGCTTTAGGGCTCAGGGATGTAGGCTTAGGGGTTTAGGGCTTAGGGTTTGAGAGCCTTAGGGCTTCAGGGACCCAGTAACCCATAAGGATGTAAGGATGATGGCTAGGGTTGCAAATAAGGCAACGATGCACTTGTAACACTACTTAGAATCCCAGTTTAAGGTACGTCCAAGTGGAGGGTAGAGCACTTAAAGGAGCCCTTAAAAGGAGCCCTTAAAAGGAACCCTTAAATGGAACCCTTAAAAGGAACCCTTAAAAGGAACCCTTAAGAGGAACCCTTAAGGTGTAGGGCTTCAGGAACTTCAGGCTCGGAGGGCCTAGGGAGAACGGAGGTTTAGGCGTTTAGTGAGGGTTTAGGGTTTAGGGTAGTTTAAGGTGTAGGAACACCGCCGATAAGAATATCATAGTAGGTTTAAGGTGTAGGAACACCAGCGATAAGAATCTCATCACAAGAATCACAACAAAAGAGACATTAAACACAACACAATAAGTAGTAGCGATCATTTCGCTGAGGATTTCGGGCGCAGGGACATGAGCTGAGGTTGGGGGGGTCAACGTTTGGGATTGGGGGCCTTAAAAATTAGACTTGGGGTCCTTTAATTCAAGGGATCCTTAAAGGGTCCTTTTAAGGGCTACTATGAGGGTATAGGCATCTTGGGTGTAAGGTTTCGGGCGGTGCGAGAAACTCTCACTACCGCTCCAAAAGTGGATAACTTAGTCTTACAAATTTCTTTGTGAATGCAGCGGCACTCATATGCCACATATGCCCTAAACCTTACACCCTAAACCCTAAACCCTAAACCCTAAACCACATATACCCTAAACCTTACACCCTAATCCAGTGAGCCGTAAGGGTTCTCTGGACCTGTTGGGAGTCCCCGGCCGCAACTTCAAACCCCCAAATCCAAACCTAATATCGGGGCCTTAATAATTAGAGTAGGGTTCCTTTAAAGGGATCCTTAGAAGGTTCGATAAGGGCCGCTATGAGGGTATAGGGTTTAGGGCTTAGTTGGAATATGGTTTTGGGGCAGAGTATACTCTAGGTACCCCCTCTAGAAAAGAATAGTGTACTGGTAAGTATCGAGGCCACTATGTATTACACCTATCCAACCCCAAAGCCCGAAGCCCGCCACCTGACACCGTCCTAAGAAAAGGTGCCTGAAGGATGAGAGTAGGGTTTTGGGCTTTACAATTCAAGAGAGGAATAAGGAATCCACGAAGCTCGGCAGAAGGCTCATGAAAGGCCTTTCAGAGGCTCCTACAGGGTTTAGGGTTTAGGGTTTGGGGTTTGAGGGTTTAAGGGTTAAGGGTTTTAGGATTTAGGGTTTAGGGTTGTAAACTTTGAAACCCCCTTCTGAACATAAGAACTAAGCCTCTTCTAAACCCTATACGACCCCAGACCCTAAACCCCAAACCCTAAACCCCTAAACCCTAAACTTCAAAAGACCCCAGACCCTAAACCCTAAACTCCTAAACCCTAAATCCTATAAGACCCCAGACCCTAAACCCTATAAGACCCTAAACCCTAAACCCTAAATGGCTCTAAACCCCAAAATCCCAGCAAAAGATCGTCGTTAAGGTCCTGGAGCTTGTCCTATAAGACGCCTAGACACCCTATAAGACCCCTAGACACCCTATAAGACCCCTAGACACCCTATAAGACCCCTAGACACCCTATAAGACCCCTAGACACCCTATAAGACCCCTAAATCCCAGACCTCCAAAAAGGCCGTCCTGGAGCTTGTCCGTGGACTCCTTGCCGGCCGCACAGCGCTGGAGGATGCCAACGGCGGCGCCGCGCTTGCCTTCCCAGAACCTGAGGCTTCGTCAGGCCCTTTAAGCCCGAAGCGGGGTGGGTTTAGGGCTTAGGGTTATAGGGTTATAGGGTTTAGAACCTGAGGCTTCTCAGCCCTTGTAAGCCCTACATAAGTCTAAGTGGGGTTTAGGGTTTAGGGTTTTAGGGTTTAGCGTTATAGGGTTATGGGAGTTATAGGGTTTGGGGTTTAATGTTCAGGGCTTAGGGGTTTAGGGTTTTGGGTCCAGGGTTCAGGGTTTAGGGGAACCCTAAACCCTACGCCACAAACGTCGTTTGCGGAGGGCCTTTATATGTGTCTGGCATTTGTTGAGGGAGGCGGGGTGCGCTAGGTTGGTACAGGGTTTGGGGCACAGTGCTCGGATGCTTGCGTTCCGGGATTATGGGATCAATTAAGGCTTTGAGTTTTGGGTTCAGGTTCTGGGGGAGGGGAGAGTTTAGAGTTCTACGATTTTAGGGTTTATAGAAATTGGTTTAGCCATACACTTCAACTATATTGGAGACTATAGGTACGCTGCTATACGTTAGTTGCTTGGACGGTCTGGGTAAACGGGCAAAGATCACCAATCAAACTTCGACAGAAACGAAGCCTTAACCATTGTCAATTGTCATCGGGTTTGGAGCATCTTCTACTTTTGTTGCATGGAGGAACCTCGGGAACCCTGTCCTAATCATTAAGGCTCCTACCTTATACATCTCTCAGCATGGGTCGTTAATGATGTGCATTGCCCTGTTGCTTTTCCAGAATCACATGTACACGGTCATCCATGCCAAACCCTGTAGATCATCATGAAGGTGCAAGGCCAATTACATCCTGCTTCGAAACACAACGTTAGAGCACAAACCTCCAAATCCAAAGCTCTCCTGACCTCATGTGCAGGCCCCCTTGTAGTCCCTAGTATAATTCTCAACCCCTAAACCTGCACAACACCCTAAACCCCAAACCCTAAACCTTAAACTCTTAGCCCTACCTGGCACAGAAAAGACCTAAACCATAAAAAGGAACCCCTAAAAAGGTAGGTCTTTCCGGCTACAGGTATAAACCCTAAACCCCAAAACCCAAAAACCTCAAACCTCAAACCCTAAAGCCTAAACCCAAAAACCCAAAAACCTCAAACCCTAAGGCAAGGAGCTCGGGATCCGGATCTAACCTCTCCAGCACGTCGAAGGCTTTGCAAGCGTAGTAGAACTGGCCCATCTTATAGCAATCATTGGCCTGGGTTTACAAAGAAAGGTAATGAACCGAACCGTTGCATTCATGGCCTTAAGGCTTAGGGTTTGAAGGGTTTAGAGATTTGGGGTTGGGGACATAGGGTCGGCCTGTGCCTCGTGTTTCAGAT